ATAAGAGACAGATGACATTTAACCTATTGTACTTTCTAGGTGATTGACATTCAGCCAGTGAGTGGAACCCTGTCACCAGGTCAGAGTATCGTCTGTAAAGTTAATTTTGTTGCGAGCGGTGATCCATCCTTCTATGACTTGGACATGGTGTGCGAGGTAGGAGACATTCCTTTCATTTTCGTATTTCACAAATTTGAGAGTAAATATTCTTCATAATCTTATTTCAAATTTTGACTTTTATCACTAAAAGTGCAAGTATATTAAATAAAAAAAATAATGGGTTTTTTTTTTTTTAAGAATAGACATTCCAGGAAGCTGTCTATAAAAACAAAAAACCAGTTTATCGCAAACTGAAATATTTCTGTATTTTTGGATGCAATCCAAATGTATCATGAATTGTTTGATAGTGTTTCCTTTTTTTTTTATCTACCTTTGCAAATAAAAAAAGAAAAAAAAATCAGATGCAAAATTCTTGTCATTAACTCTTTCTGACCTTTACTCTTTACTGATTGTTCCACATGAAAATATTTTATCAGAATATTTCAAATTAAATAATTTATGAATTTATAATCTGTTTCAATAAAGAATAATGATTCTCATTAATGGAGATCTTGTATAGTGATTAAGGTGCTTATCTTCCCATTCATGGTTCTCGGTTCAAATCCAGCAATGATGATAGTAAATCTAGATGCTTGCCTTCCAATCCTGGGGTCCTGGATTCAAATCCTGAATGTTGATGGAGTGGAGCTGTAGCTTGGTGGTTAAGATGCTTGCCTTCTAGTCCTAGAGTCCTGGGTTCAAATCCTGAATGTTGATAGATTGGAGCTGTAGCCCATATTTGAGCATGTCATATTACATCCAAATATGGGCACTTTACATTTATTTGTCATCACATAAAATTTGCGAGAACATATCAAATATACTTTTTCATCATGTAGAATGTTAAAAAACAAAAATACATGAACATTGTTTAACCATTGATTGATTGATTGTCCCAATTGCTGGATTAACCGTATTGTTACAGGTAACTGATATGACGATCATGAATGATTATTTAGAGGAGTTGAACAATTGGCAGACAGAACTACATCGACAGAAGTATGAATTTTCAATCACGGACAAGGATTTGAACGGGGTTAGTGCTCATCTATCGTCATTTTTATAGTACATTTTTCTTTTTCATGTGTGGTATTGCCAGTACTGATTACTGACGGTTTAAAATTTGATTCAGATTTAAGGCAAAAAGGTCAAAGGTCAAGGTCACATGAATTGGATTTTTTTTTCTCTAAAACTTGCCCCTAGAGGGTAATAGAAAATAGTGGAATAATTATTAAAAGAAATGCAAAAATGCATTTCTGCTATCATATATGTTTATTTAATGTTCTAGATTGACAAACTGTAGTGTGAAATACATTTATATTCAGTATTTTCTAATAACAGTCTGTAGTTGTCAGATGATTTCATCCACATGTCGTCCTTTAAATTAATGCAATTAGATAGAATGATAATTTAGTATTGTACTGGTTGTGTATTTATGACACATGGTCTGTTTAGATGCAAATTACAGATTATGTCACTTATTAAATTTCCTGACACAAAACAATAAAACTCTTCATGTACTTCTGTATATTATCATAGTTATTATGTTTTTGTGGTTATGATGTGTTGCAAAAGTTGAATAAGGCCAAATGAAACCATGTATTGCCGATTCTCAGGAGACCTAAATTGCGCATCACTGCATCATGTTTCTAATCATTCCTAATTTGTCCAGCCAGAGTACTTTGGCTTTTGAATGAATTTACAAGTGGCCTACACTCAGTGTCTCCACAATCGTTAAATTCAGATTGCCAGTGAAATATCAAAAGTGTTAAATGCACTGTATCAATCGTAAAGCTGTTTCAGTCGCACACCACTGCATACAACAGCAAATGAGCATTTATCTTTTTAAAGTAAACACTTTGATTTTTTTTCAATCAAGTATTAATTATCATTATTGAATTAAGTTATGCTTTTTAGATTTTTATACCATTATATGCCTAATAATAATACTAATAATAATCTACACTTATATTGCATATTGCGCAGTGCCTTTATGCACTTTACCTCAAAATAAAAATACAAAAAGCATGACAACTTTACAAAAGGTTTAGAGCCGGTTTCACAATTGCGATGAGCGATGACATTGACCTTGTGACTGTTGTTGCCGTGTACACTTACTTAATTGATACTTGGTAGGGTATTCTTCTTGTATCCTCTTTCTGAAATACTAAGACGATATAACAACATTCTCGAAATTATGGCTATAATTTACCATCTTAATTACCGTTACTGCAGACTTAGAAATAATGGAAGTGTTTACTTATAAAAATAAGCACTGATTTTCAACGCCAGTATCTGCTTTTTCGTGAGCCCCATTGCAACGTGAATACCTCTCTTCATACTTTATAAAATAGAAAATAGAATCTAGAATCATTGGCAGGACTCTTGGGGAAAGGATGGGGCTAAATTAGAGGGAGCTAACTGGCAAAATGAGATTACATTATGTGATATTTAAATATTGAATGTATTATTTACTCACAATTTCCAGTGGGTACTGGGGTGCAAATTTTCACTAGGAGCACAAACCCCTCCCTCCTACCACCACGACCACCCCTCACTGCCTTAAGGTATGCCACTGATCATCTTGTGTAAAGTGGCAATGATTTATCGCTATATTCTTGAGAAATATACAAATGCTCTCTGTGTTAAAATCAGGAAACCTTCTAATTTTCAAAAGATAGAATTAAATTGTTATTAAACCATGCTTTAGTTTAAAGAGTAGGTTTAGTTTTATAGGCCACCATCTTTTTTTTTATTCCCACTACCAAAATACCAAATTATAATTTATTATTAAAACTACAATTCACCTTCTTAAAATGTGATAGATAAAAAAACCCAATTCTGTTTTTATTGACTTACAAACGACTTTAACTACAACAAAATCATAAATAATTGATCATTCACCAATTTAGGCGTTCGTGTTAAGAATATAAATATGGATGGCATATCTATAAACCTGTTTATTGTCAAGAGCAATAATGAATTAAAAAGTTATAGCTTTATTTACAAAGTAAACAATTTATATATTGAATTCTGATGTTCAAGAAAAAAGCTTTTTTGAATCAAAGAAAAAAAAAAACACTGACAACCACTGCCTTTATGAAATGAGTGATTTTGTATTTTCATATAATTGAAATGCATGATAAAGAGCAATTTGATGGTAGATTTATGTTTCATGTGAATTTACATTACAAAGGTATTGTTCTCATTTTATGATTGTATTTTGGGATTCACACATATGGTCTGAGAGTACAATAGAATTATACTGGTATGAAAAAGAAAGCATATCAGACAATAATCTTATGTTAGTGGGCAAAAATGGAAAAATTGCTTGAGCCCCATTTGCAATGTTACCAGTTACTAGTGTTTAAGTATTGAAGAAATATTCTCTGTCAAAAAGATAAAAAAAACCTCAAGGCTGTTCACACACAACACAATAGAGTTAACATTATCTAGATGAAAAACCCGGCCACAGTCACCTTTCTGAAAAAAAGATGCACTACTGCAAATGGGAAATGCTGGCTTTTGAAGGTTTGTTTATACGAACAGGGTCAAGTTGTTAACCGTTAACGACCTACCCCGTTCGGGTGTTCTCACAGGCAGTGCTAACGGTTAAGCTAACAGTTAGCTTCTGTTCAGGATCAGAACACTCTAGTGTGAACAACGCCCAAAAATTCAATGGAGATATTTAATAGCTCATTTTGAAAGGATCAAATATGTTACTAAATACCAACCAGAAACAGATAGAAAAACATTTTTTCTGCTAATTTAAAAACATTATATTAAAAAATATCCTAAAATGATTAGCAGCCAATTTAAGGGTCTATGTTAACCGAGGAAATGTTTTTCTCATTTAAATTTGTAATATATTATGGTGTACTGTAATTATTTAGCTTATGACATACAGTTAATCTTTTAAGTTTTTAATCAGGTGCTGTAAATGTGTTTGCTGGAAAATATTTGCTTATAAAAAGATTCTTTGAATGCTCTAACATAAATTGAATTCCAAGACGCTTTGTCCAGCACTAGCAAATATGATTTAATTACATAATGGTAAACATTTAATTGTTGATGTATTTTAACAACCAAAGAAGTCTTATACATTTGTAGTTTTTCTAGAAGGGTGTATACAGTACAGTATACCTTAAACTTGCCTATAGCCTGGTCCTCACGAGAGCCCTAGTATCCGGATCGGGGCTAACCGTTAGCGCTAACCGTTAGCGCCTACGTGAGAACGCCCGATCGGTTAGCGCTAACCGTTAGCAGTATCCGGATAACGCTAGTTGAGTTGAGCGCGTTTTTATCATCAACCAATCACACGTATGCGTTTACAATTTCCAGTTTCTTATTAACTTAGTGATTTGATCCGGATCAGAATTTTCTCGTATGGACGCACGGCAGCTAACGGTTAGCAGGATCCGGATCCTGCTAACCGTTAGCAGCTGTGTGAGAACATAGCCTGTGTCAATGTCTATGCTCTCGTGTATTTTGATTGGTTTTTTTGTGGTAACAAATCTTTTTGCATCTCAATTTGTTTGTATTGTGTTTTAATCTACACAGGACAAGTCAGTTTACTGTAAACTACTGTATTCCCAAACAAATTAAGCTATAGTTTATCAGATTATAAATAATTTTTACTGCTTTTTGTCAAATTTTCAATGAAGTAAAGAACTCAGATATAGCAAATTACAGTATATTTCATTGGTATTAATTATTGTGTTTTACATTTATTTCTTGCTTTTTTGATTGTTATTCTTTTTTTTTGGTGGAGGTGGGGGGGGTCACTGGCCTCTGGTAATTTTAAGCCAATGGCGCTGCAAGCTTCTACTAATGATTAAACACATGCCTTTATAAATAGCTGATTTACTGATTGACTATGTGTAAAATAGTATGAAGTATTTGATTGATTACCTATTTAAAAAAAAAAGGGAAATTTTCCCTGGTGTTGATGTACAAAATCACTTTATTTCATGTTCGTTTACGTGTAGATATTTGCATTGTGTTTATGCTTATACATAGAAGAATAATAATTTTGTTCCATGTGCTTAGTTTGGTATCATATAAATCAAATCTAAATTGTTCCACCATTTTATTTCATCAGCATGTTCCCAATAAACGTCTGTGCCAAGTAATCAAGGAAGCCCAAAGAGTACCCTCCCCCGAGTACAAAAAATATCATACTCTACCTCCAATCAAACGCACTCGAACTGAGGCTCCTCAAGACGACCTACAATTAGAGGAACGCCAGACAAGCACAGGGACGCCGCTATGGGAGAAGCCCGAACCACCGGATCCATTCTTTCTTCATCTAGGAATAACGGCAAGGACACACTCGATTGCAGAATTCCAGACAAATTTTCCAAATGATGTGCAGAAGTTTTTCATTGACCGGTAAGTGGAGGAAATGCATTATAAGCTAATAATAATATGTGGCTGACTCTGGAAATTCAATCTGCAACATCCATAATCTCAGTGTGATATTAGACCAATCCTCACTTTCCATCTGCAAATAGTCTAATTACTATCTTTGAAATATCCGCCTAATCACACAGTACCTTGACTCAGCTGAAACTCTTGTTCATGCTTTTATTTCAACAAAACTTGATTACTGCAATTCCCTTCTTTTTCGGCTACCCTCTTTTTCTCTTTATCTACTTAAAAAAATTCAAAATTCTGCAGTATCAAAATTATTATTAAAGCCATAATTTTACTTTCTAATACTTGGATTATTATGAATTGGTATAATACTACTTACAGTATATCGGCACCAGAATTATTAATAATTAATTGAAATAATACTTAAGTGTTTGTTTGTGATCAGATAATTGTTGTGTCATATTAAATACGAGGACATAATCAGCGAAGTACAAACAAAACTGAACGTGGGCGAATATACCAGCCAACTGTTCAAGGGAAAGTAAAACAACTACAGACAAAAACATGACAATGAAAACAGTGTCTTAAATATAGGTAAATTTTAGAATTCTCAAGTAGCTTCATTGTTATTTGAAGTGGTAGAGAAGCTTTTGTATAATGCGCTATATAAGGCCGATATATTGGTGTTGGTATTTTTTTTCTTTAAAATCATTACTGAAGACACACCAATTAATAATAATCTTTTGATTAGCATCATGTTGTTATTAATGATTTTATTTTATTGTTGTTTTTATTATTATTTATTATTATTATTTTTATTTCTATATTACAGTTAAACTTGCCGAAGTCGACTCGTGCCTAACTCAAATAATTTCTAAGTCGATCTTTATTTACACACCAAATTGATGTGTTTACTATTAATTAACAATCTGTAAGTCAAATTTTTATCTAAATTCAAACAATTTCTTAATGCCATTTTGGATTTGACTTTGGCAAGTTCAACGGTATTATTATTAAATATTATTAGTAATATGTAATTATTTAATATTCAATTATTATCATTCCTATTGTTATTGTTTACTATAATTTATTTTATCTTATTGGTATTGTTATATTTGTATTTTTTTTTTCTTTTATGTATTTATTATTAACTATATAATATGTATTATTTATTGTTTAATTATGATGGTTATTATAATCAATTACAGTATAAAGTTGGAATGAACACACATTTTTATAAAGATCTGAATGAAGAATGGAAATTTCCCCCATCTTTCCATTTTTACAGTGGCCATCTTCTTTGATAACCTTAATAATGAAATTCAAATTTCAAATTCTTATAAACATTTATTTTCCATTTTGTTATATTTTACATAACATAATCAGATAATAATAATAATAATAATAATAATAATACAGACATGAAGGTATATATTTAGTTATACAGGTCTCCTTCCAATTAACAACCACTTTTGGGACTGTTTTTTTAATATGTATTATTTATTGTTTAATTATGATGGTTATTATAATCAATTACAGTATAAAGTTGGAATGAACACAATTTTTATAAAGATCTGAATGAAGAATGGAAATTTCCCCCATCTTTCCATTTTTACAGTGGCCATCTTCTTTGATAACCTGTCAAATCTGCAATAAAATCTTAACATTAAATAGGCCTAATCGTTTCTTTTTACTGGTGTCTGTAATGACAACCTTAAATTGTTTAATATTCTGTAATTTGTATTTGGTCATTGAATTTTCAATTTGTCAGGAGTATGAGTAAAGAGTCCCAACCAAGTCCAAGACACAAAAAGCTAAGCAAGATACCGCTGGAACCAGAACAATGCAGTGAAGAGGAAGAGAATGCCGTCAGCCTCATTGTTGCCAACATCATACGGTAAACTTCGCTCTCTTCATATCAAAAATTATTTATAAAGTTTAAGATTTTATGTAATAATAATAATAATAATAATAATAATGAGTAAACAATAATAATATTAATAACGAAATTCAAATTTCAAATTTTTATAAACATTTATTTTCCATTTTGTTATATTTTACATAACATAATCAGATAATAATAATAATAATAATAATAATAATACAGACATGAAGGTATATATTTAGTTATACAGGTCTCCTTCCAATTAACAACCACTTTTGGGACTGTTTTTTCCATTGTCTTTGGCAGCTTTGGTCTCTAATTAGAATAACCACGATAAAAGTCATTTGTTAATATGGGACCACAAAACAGTGGTTTTAATTGGAGTTGGTCCAACCACTTTTGGGACTGTGTTTTCCATTGTCTTTAGCAGCTTTGGTCTCTAATTAGAATATAACCACGATAAAAAGCATTTGTTAATATGGGACCACAAAACAGTGGTTTTTAATTGGAGTCTTTTAATTAGGTCTTTTATTAGAGGTAGACCTGTAATAATAATAATAATAATAATAATAATAATTCAATATCAATATAGCACCATTATTGTGCTAATATCTCAGAATAGTTGCTTTCATGTTAAGTATACCAAAGTAGTCCCAAAGTCCTAGTACAAAAAATTGTATTTTGATGTAGGAAAAACAAGAGATATAAATAATTATTATTTCTCTAGGGAGCAAGGTTGCCATATGGTGGAATAATGCTATTATATAGAGTAGGTTTACCAAAACAATATGCACAATGCATTTCCATATGTTAGCTATTTACATGGTAACTGGTATATCATAAATTTGCTCCTAAATACTTCAATATATATGTTTGCCAAGACTGTTAACTATATCATAACATGAAATACTCAGTCCATAGTCATACCAGATAGTGAATCGAAACTATTTTACCATAGTGGTATCAAATTATTGAATCTTTTCCATAAAGTTCAGTTCAGTTTTTTTTATTCGACTTACATTATTAAAAATGTAAATTTAATTTCAATATTAAATACAAAAACACAAACACCTAAGCTATTAAAATTTGTAATTTGGTATTCAATAAAGCTTAAATTTAAATATAAATATATTCTAATGGAACAGATGTTTGCAGATGAGGATTTATGGCAATTAAACTGCAATTTAGGTTTTTGCTTAATTGTTTTACTGTGCAGACTTTTTTTGGTTTTACAATATCCTGCCACCTTGCCCAAAATTACCTTTACTCTACTCGCGCGAATAAGCGCCCGGGCGTTTAAAATATTCTTTTCAATTTTTTGAGGGACGCTTATGAAAACAGAGTGGAAATTAACGGGGCGCTTATTGAAAGATGAAATTTGAGAGGTTGTTACGGGAATTCAAGGGGCACCTTTTAAATGAAAAAAGATTAGCATGTATCTTGTTGGCCATCTCATGCCGATTGAGATTAGCAGGATCATTGCAGGGTTTCTTGCAAACTCAGATAAGGTGCTAAAGGTGCACATTGTCAGGAAAAGAAAAAGTAGGACTAGACAACATAAGAAGAACGTTGGAAAAATACTGTCTAGGTTTGCTCTTATCTGTCCAGAATAAATATACTCATTTTGAGGGGGGACGCTTATTTAAAATAGGAGGGGTGCTTAAGAAAATTTTCACTTCAGGAGGGGCGCTTATTCGTGCGAGTACAGTAATCTAAAAAAACCAAGGCTACTTTTTCTTTAAATATCCAGTCTAAAAACCCATGCCTAAAAAGGTAGTGGCTATTGTTACACCATTTTAAAACCAATTCCTAATTCTGTTTGTATGTTAATGTATGTATGGACTGGAGTTATGACAATAACTCAGAAAAATAAATCAGAAATAGGAATTTGTTTAAGAATGGTCTAACAATAGTCACATCCCCTAAAAACCACCTCTAGAAATAACCCTGCAAAAAAAAAGACAACACTGTTAAAAGGACTTCCTAAAATAACCTATATGATCTTACTAAAAAAAATCTTACCTAAACAAATTTTACTAAATATTTAATAACTTGATTGTTTTCCTAATAAATAAATTTCCAATTTATAACCAAGAATTTTTTTTAATTGATTGCATTTATCTAGAGGTCTACTGGATGATCACGACTTCCATGAGGCACTGAAGGAGATTCCCAGGGAACCCATTCCATATTTTAGCCAGTTTAGTGAACAGCCAGTGACCTTATCCAGAATGGAACAAACTCCAGTTGAACCAAGTAGGGAGTTGCCTGCAGATGCAGACAAATATGATAAGGTAAAAACACTGTAGTAATTGTAACCAACGATGCACATTTGTTTTTAAGCTGTGTTCGCATTGGGTTACTTTTGACCAACACAAAGGGTAAAGCTCTGTCCAGACTATCAAATTTTATTTGACAAAAACATGTGACATGCCTAAATATGGTCATGATGACATCATATTATGACCATATATAGGCACATTATGTCTATATATGGGCATACAACAGTTTTTGGTTTTTTTTCAAAGAAAATGTGATAGTTTGAACAAAATTTAAATCCACTAAGGAGCATGTTTTACTGAATATCGAGAAAGAAATATTCTCTTATCATTGGTTGATAATCAGATTAGCAAGATGAGAACTGCATTACAACTACATTCTGACACCACATGAAGCAATTCCCAGACTGGTACTTTACATTATACATGATGTAATACAGTTGCCCAGAATGCAATTTAAAATGACCTTTATAAAAAATAAAAAAACCCCTTAAGAGAAGATCAGTATTTTCACGCGACTACCAAGGTACAAACACCTGATGAAGCCCCATTGACTGGGGCGAAAGCTTGTGAAATAAATTCATCGTTAGTCAAAAAAGAGGTACCTACTCATTTTTTCATAAGATACAAACAATAATTCGTTCTATTCGAATAACATGTCAATATTTAAATGAAACTATGGTTAAACTTTTTTTCTCACAGTATTTAACAAAAAGAGTATTTCATTTTTTTGTGAAAAGAATCTTAACATTTGTTTTACTTATTCCTCCTAATAATAAATTAAGATATCATTGGTGCTATCAGTGATAGGATTACTACTAGGAGGCCAAAGTTATTGATATGGGAAGTATTGATATGGGAAGTATTTTACAAAGTTTGATAAAAAGTAACACTCAATTATGTCCTTTTTTAACAATTCTAGTAATGCTAGACATAGGCCTAGCAAAGTTTACCTTAGTTCAAATTAGGCAGCTATTCATGTTGCAGCTAAAACCTACCCCATGAAGAACAGTTTTTTTGTTCGAAGAACGGTTCTTTGACGTTCACGGCACAGTATGGATTCTTAAAAAGAATGGTTCTTAAGAACAGCCCTCAGTCAAATTGTGCCCCTATTCACACTCTTTTTAACACAGGTGTATATTTTGTTATTTATTACTTTTAAATAAAATTATTCTTATACAGATTCCTTATATGTACACATTTGACATAAGTATAAATATTTATATAAGTACAATATATATATATATAGATAGATATATATGTATATATATTTGCAGTCGGCAGATTCGCTAAACAAGGTATAAAAAAAGTCTCGCCTAAGCGCCACTGTTGAATAAGCGCCACTGCCAAATAAGCACCATTGTTAAATAAGTACCATTGTTAAATAAGTAACACTGCCTAACAAGCGCTGCTATCGAACAAGCGCCGTTGTCAATTAAGCGTTGCTCTTGAATATGTCTGTCTCTTATACACATCTAGATGTGTATAAGAGACAGGGTCTAACAATAGTCACATCCCCTAAAAACCACCTCTAGAAATAACCCTGCAAAAAAAAAGACAACACTGTTAAAAGGACTTCCTAAAATAACCTATATGATCTTACTAAAAAAAATCTTACCTAAACAAATTTTACTAAATATTTAATAACTTGATTGTTTTCCTAATAAATAAATTTCCAATGCCACTGTTGTACAATATGGCTTAGTCTTTTTGGAGTGTGACATTACATTATGTTTTGTGGCGTGGTGTGATAATCCCTCCTGATCGGCTGCTGCTAATTACTCCTTGTTTAATGGATGGTTTTATATTTATATTGATTATGTAATGATTATAAAACATGATTGTTATAAGCCAAAGTCATACAGGTTTTTCTGTATAGACATGTATATCGATTCGTAACTATTTTATTTGTATGGCAATAATAATTAATATTCGGAGATAATCTGTGAATCCAATTGATTGTTTACATATTTTGCAATAATTCTTCTAAAACAAGTAAGTATTTTGTGTTACCTATTAATATACTGTACGGCCGTTCCGTGGCTAAACAACATAACTTGAAATTTTTACTTTTGGAGAAAAATAGAGTTAATGTTTGCATGTTTGTAACTTCGCAATAAATTTTCATAGCCTTTTAAAATTTTGCAGGATTGTATATCTATACATTGTGATTATATGTAAAATTTTAATTACAACCATTTGTTTATTTCAAAGTTATTAGCGATAACTACAGATACGTTGTTTAGCCACGGAAATTTAGTCAGCTAAGCTGGTGGTACCCAGTGTGCGGTAAACCTAGGTTCCCAGTTCAATTCTCATCGCTACGCTCCTTGTGTTTCAGCTAGAGGACTGAATTACTAGTTACGATATAGCGCACCATCTTTCAGATGAGACGTTTAGGCCGTTGGTTCTGTGTGCAATATGGCACATGTGGACGTTAAAGAACGCAGTGCACTCTTTCAGAAAAGAGTAGGGGATTGTCTCCCGGTGTACTGCACAATTCCCTCTGGAGACGTTTTTTTTTTTCACACACAACTTTGTCGTTGATGGGCTCTGTCTGATAAGTTTATAACATGTTCCTAAAATTGAGCACTGTTTATATCACAGTAGAACCCCACATTTACAAACCCCGATTTTACGAATTCCCGATTTGACGAACGTAAAATCATGTCATTGTTGTCATAAATAAAGTTCCTATTTCATGTACAAAAGACGTGTGTCAAGAATTAATCGTTAGGCGCATGCTGGAGTTTATTCATTCGGTCTTAGACGGTTTGCTGTACACTATCAGCGATCTCTACTACAATACAAAACGCAGATAGTTTGTCGGGGAACAAACAAATAAAAAAAAAATATTTACATGTAATATTCGTTTAGCCACCATATTGTTTGTGTTAATTTTCATCACAACAACAACAATAATAATAATAATAATAATAATAATAATAATAATAATAATAATAATAATTCAATGAGACTAATTAAAAATAATTTGCGTTCTGTTATGACAAATGCTCATTTCAGATAGCCTCATGATGGTTGGAAAACATCGTGATAGGTGAAGCAACCTCGACTATGACAGCGTGGTTGACAGATTTAATGCAAAATTTCCAAAATATAGAATTTCACTTTCAAGAATGAAGATTTGAAAATAAATTAGATGGTTACATTGCATATTCTTTGTTTCTTACTTTATTCAAAATGTTTTGGTTTTGGAAGCTGATTTCAACATTAGAAAGCATAGCCTACATGAATTCATATTATAGTAACTCGATGCCTATCAAATAGGCCTAAGTAATAAAAAATCGCCATAATTCATCAAATACCCAGCCCTAGGCGGCCCCCAGCCAAGTGAGACTCGATTCGCTCCACTAGCCCCCCCCCCCCATCGGGGCCTTTAGCCCCTCCGTCGGGCAGGTCCTGGCGCCACCACTGGGTTATTCTGTACAGGTATTTACTTGACGCTACAAGCACATGGATCGAGTGAAAAACGTTCTTGCGTTACTTGCCTGTTGTGGCGCCCGCGGGGCTGTGTTTCTTCGTAAGCTAGAAGATAAGTCATGATATATTATTGCCTGAGAAAGAGAGAATAAAGTTTGTATACACATTAACAAGTATGTATAGTACTGTACATTAATATGATCGTTAAATTTGAATATCTTTCGAGCGCAAGTTGGAGTTTTGGCTCCAATTCAACAATATTCCAGCCTAGCATATTGGTAGTGTAAATACATTGGAATTTCACACAACCCAGATTTTATTTATGAATGCCTCTGGGCCTGTCCCATACGTAAATGAGGTGTTCTACTTTTATACCTCTTTGTTTATATTTATATATATATTCAGTGCCATGCAGCAATACTTTAATCTAATCAATAACTATATAAAGAACATTGAAATACATAACATCTCTTTTGATGTAGACGATTGATATCCAAGTGTCTTCACCTGTGCCATCTTTGAACTCAGACAAGAATGGCTCAGTGATCTCTCCAGTACCAAGTCTGGCAAAGAGCAGCAGTTCATTAGGGGAAGAGATGTTGTCTGCAGTTGCATTCCAGTCATCTTCGCACTCCCATACAGAACAAGACTACCAGCAGAGTTTGAAAGAAGAGAAGAAGAGGTTACAACAACAAACACTGAAACGGTTAGAACTAAACTCTTCTTTTACAATTATATTGTTTATCATCAATGATGCCAACAAGTGTAATACTAGGCCTACTACTTAGATACAAGAAATGGTATACATTCCACCACACTCTCCCCAACATTACTCCCCATCCTTATTCCCAAACTTCACCATAATCCACAAATTGTTTTTTTTAATTTTATTTATTTATTCTTTCTTTATACTGAAACGTACTTTCAATACAAATAGACTGGTGGTTCAGTTATAAACAAAAGTATGAATCAAGTGATATAAGTAACTTAACTAATGAAGAAAACAAATGAATTAATACAAACACATAGTAAAAGTACACACTTTAAAAGTTAAAAGGTAAATAAAATATTTAAATAAGTTTTGTAAATAGCATTTAAAAAACATTTGTGAAAGGTTGATGTCATATCATTAAGGTCAGTTTTAATGTGATTTGGGAGAGAATTCCACAATTGGTAGATGTGTATTTAAATGTTTAATGTAAGACATCTTCAGGCCTTTGGGGGGGGGGCAGGGTCGTGTAGGGCCCTAGTGGAGAACAGGATGAAACTGCTGTCCACTATCTTAAGGCCTTTCATGCTATTGCTTTGTTTGATATACTACCTGTTCCTCGTACTCATCGTATGCATTCTGTGTGGCTCAACAAATAACTGTGGTTTCACATGTGATGTGCACTGTATTGCTTACTACTCTCATTCATCCATACCATTTGAATTCATTTCACATGCAAATGATATTCTTAAAAAAAAAAATATATTGACATCCTGATAATAGGTGGGCAGATATTATACTCATTTACGAGTAAATAATACTGGTACTAATGGTTCCATAATAAAATATTGGTATATTCAGCATCCTTGCCCATCATATGAGGCTTAGGGAGTGAATTTGTTAAGTTTTCTTAGAAAATCATCAAGGTTGGAAGCAAGCATATTAACTACAAGAGTTTCAGATAAATCCATTACATATACACTACATGTTAAGAAAGGTCGCGGACAACTGAAATATTCGTGATCAATACAAGATATGTTTTGTTATACATTGACTTGGGTTTTCAGATGTTTACTCGTATGTATATATATGTAATAATTATGTATGTATCAGACTTAGTGAAGGTCTAGTGATGTTTGTTGTTTGTGTAATCTTTTTTTTTTTTTTTTGTTTATATGACATACTGGTATGTACAGTTTATGTCAATAAAAGAATTGAATTGTATATATGTATATATTACGATGAACATTGTGATGTGATATATGAGGCCGCATATGTTCAACATCTGTAAATAGACTGAATGAATGCAAGTCTTTGACTCTTGGAACATAAAATTGTTATTATTATGTTTACATAGCAGCAATGACTTATCAAGTTATACAGAGACCATGGCCAAACTATCTGTATTGTGAGATGCTTTGTATTGAGCCTGTCTCTTTCCATTATATTAAACTATTAAACTTTTACGTCAGAAATTACAGACCACCTTACTGTAGGTCAGTAATTTATGTCAACAATTTTATGGTATCCTTCGTTTTTTAGTTCCGATTTTGTATTTTGATGGTTAGGGAGAAAATTGATAATGCTCTTTGCCCATTCTGTAACTTTACATTCATCAACTTTAATACCAAATGTCTGTAACTATAATAATATAATAATAATACTAAGGTAAGGTAACTAAGAGGAATATTTCCAGGCTGTTCACTGAATAAATTTAGTTTATAGCTAACCTGCGTCCTGTTCAAATTTTACACTATTAAGTGGTGAGTGCAGGCCAGCGGTTTTAGTGCAGTAGAAATGGTTTGGATTCCAAACCTTGAGGTCGGGGTTTCAATCCTTCGCTGTGCATTTCGCTTGTGTCCTTGAGCAAGTCATATTATGTACATTGCTTCACTCTACCCAGCTGTATCAGTGGGTACCAGCAAATCGTTGGTGAACCAGCATCCCACCCAGGGGAACATCAAGCTATTGTCTGCATCACGCTACTTGAAACTGGGAATAAGCCCCAGTTCATATAAGCCCCTGTCGCTCAGCAAGAATTTACTTTCTTTTTTTATACAGTGGCACCCGTCTGAGCTCTCAAGCCTCTAGTACTCTAAACCCAGTGTTGGTCTATCTATTGAAATGGTGCCTTATAAAATGATAAGTCAAGCTTCAAGTGAGGTTTGATCAATAGGCCTACACCAATCGCACGTCGGTGAAGCCTTTGATTAATGTATGCCTGTTGATCAAACCTCACTTGAAGCTTGACTTATCGTTTTGTAAGGCACCATCATTTTCTTGACGCCTAGCCCCATGACTTGTCGCTACATTACTGAATTTTATCTTACCTATAAAAGTTGCGATTCTTCGCTGTTGGGGGAAATAAATTAAATAAAAACTTATAGGTGAATTTGTTTGTTTTCTTTTCACTTTTGTGTTGTTTTTCTATTCTATCTATCACTTTCTGTGTGCTTTTCACCACTTTCATATTTCAACCGTTATTCATGTTTTTTTTTTCTTTTTTTGTTGTTTTGGAGAGCACATAGAGACGAATGTTATATGCACTATACTAGTGCACAACCATTGACCATAGACCAGTTTTATTCAAAGATGTTCATTCATGTTCTTGCATTATATCTTTTTTTCATGTAGACTACCAGAGTTTGGAAACTTTCTGGAATCGATTCTGGAGAATTCTATATTCAATGTTATCACTGAAGCATTCCAGGGCAGTGTCAACCTGACCGCAAGGCCTCGGATCATAGCTCTACCGCCAAGCTGTCCTAGCCCGACCCAAAGGGTAGGTTCTGCTGGATCAACCGATAGCAGGCGGCCTAGATCAGGAGGTAGAAACTCTAACAGATTTGAACATGGTGCTGTGCCTAGCCCAGTCATTATCAGAACACCAAGTGCTGCATCGCAAGTTGAAAGTTGAACAGTGTGAACTTGGTTAATGTTTTTACTTGTAAATAGTTATGTACATCTTGAACGTTATAAATTACATAATAATATATTTGTTTCTATGTTCACTAATTAATTCTGCAAAACAGCTAAAATTGTGTTAATTCCAAGTAAGGTGTGTAAATAGGTATTTCCAAGTCAAGTGGCAGATTCAATGGGATGGCCAGGGTGGGCCATCCTCCTTCCCCCTCTCTAAATTTGCGAAAGTTTGAAAAAAAAAAGAAGAAAATTATATTCAAATTTGAACTCTGAAAATGATATTTCCTCTATTTCAAATCCCTGGATTCGCCACTGAACACAAAACACAACTGAAGGAATGTCGAAATAGAATTAAACGATAAGAAGTTACAAGCAAGACCATTTGTAGGGAGAATGGAAAAAGTGTAATGTGGCTAACCATAATTAGCAGTCATTCTGAAATAATGATGATATTATTAGTAAATTTTCTTTGGTACCAATATTGACATATTTTTAGAATGGTGTTTTAATGTTAGACATAATTATTCTGGTTTATTTATTCACATAAAAAAATTCATATGCATAAAATTACTCATTAGCAGCAATAAAAGCTGAATTGAGAGTGCAGTTGTTAGAATAAATTGAATTAAAAAATATACTGTACCATTTAATTGGTGAATAATATATTTACACATTAAGAATTGAATTACAGTACATAGTGCCATAAAAAAATAATCGTCGGTGAAGACTCTTCTGATCAGAGCAGGAGCAATTCCCGCTGATTACCAGGAGACTTTATTCGGGACTACAGGAGAGTTGAGACCCCAGGCTCTGGACTCTAAATGTGGTTGTTAGATGTCTCTTTTTAGAGGGAAATAGAAATAGTACATTGTATGTAGAATTACATAGCGCCATAAAAAATTGTTAGTGAAGGCATATGTGATTATACAATACTAAAATGTAATATTATCTATAAATGCATGGGCATTATCTGCTGTGTAAACAACTATTTACCAACTGAAAATAATACTCTTTACTGTAAGTGCTTAAAGATATACTACTACTCAAAAATACTACTTCAACGAATCTTCAATAAAACTGAAATACTCATTTAAAAGAACATTAGAGTATAAGTTTTCTAGGAACAACAGACCAAGAAAATCGTTTATTTTCTAATATCTAATAAATATATTTTTTAGATTATATTCAAATAGTATAGGTATGGTATAATACCTTGTGTTGATTAATGATGGAAATGTTTTTCTTTGTTCGAATTTGAAGTTTATAAGATATTTAGATGGCTGTATATCTTTTAAATGCTGATTCTTTGTCAAGTTTTATGTACCAAAATACTTCTTTTCTTTAAACTTTATTCATAAAAGCAACGCTTACATCCCTGCCAGATTTTCTAGCTCAACCGACAGTCTCATATATACTCATATTGTTATAATATACATGTTGAATCTTGTGGTACACCACGTAAGTAGTTCTGAAAAGAACTGTTGAGTTGAGAAAGTCTCGACGTTTCGATTGAGATGCTTCAATCGTCTTCAGGAGAATAATATCTGCAGACACTCCAAACAGGGAAATACTCATATTATTATAATTATATTCGTTCTAATCCATACAGAACATTAGTATTTGTTTGGCTATCATTTGAGGTCTGTTGTATATAATTTGTGTTTTTTTTTTAAATGATGTGTATATGATTTTTATAATATATTTTCGTTAATAATATTACTATTTATAATATTAATACTATGTAAGAAATTGTTGAACGACTTTGGAAATACTGTAATGGCATTACCAGTTAAAGTATAAAGACAGAATAAATACTATCGGTGATTAATGTGGATCTGTGTATTTGCTTGTGTATTTATAAGCGTGATCAACTTTCACCGACATAAAACATTATCATAAAACAGGTTGTTTAAAATCACTTTATTCATCAAAAGGAAAAACATCATAAAAGCCTAGGACGTGTCTGCATAAAGGACAACGCAAGGCAAGTACAATATTTCAGTAAAGTATATAGAAAAATATCAAAAATGGAAAAATCGCGACAAAACAAGGCCAAATAAATAAAAAGAAATATATTAACGTTAAATATTAAATTTGTATTCAAATACTGCTCAGGCACAAGGAAATGGTCAGGTTATGTAATAATGCAGGTTAATCCCAGTTGATTCACTTTTAGAGTGAAAAATGCTAAAGGATGAAGTAATGCTTAATTTAGATAGATTATTTCGAAACTTAAAATTGGATCCTTATTGCATATTTTAAGGATTTCCTTGAGCCTAAGAGTATTATTTTGAGAAATATATATCGGTAAGTTTCCAGTGGTAAGGTTTCAGTTGACCATGGGCGTCGATCGGTGCGGGACAGGGGGGACGCGTCCCCCTACTTTGAAAAGTGGGGGTGGGACATCATAGCGATTGTTTTCCCCCCCCCCCACTTTTCACCAATCTTCTATATTAAAACCCCACTTTTAAAAGCGAATGGAGAGAATAACAATTACGCATGACTCATGAATTTTGTCTGTTCACTTTTCTAAGTGCGGTACGTATTTTCCGGACCAAAACCGAGTAAAAACGCAATTGTTTAAACATTTTGTAACCATCTCAGAAACCCACTAGATCGATTTTAATGGTGCAACGACTATCGGAGGCTAAATTTAATGTGAAAACTATGTACTGAACGTTGTTAAAATTGGAAGCATGTATCCTTATTAGGCCAATATTTTTATAAACTCAAAAGTGCACAATTTCTACTATAAACGATTTATTCTTTTTGTATATTATTATGACGCGTACGTATATACTAGTGTTTAATATTATCTACATACATAGGATTACTATTTTTTCTAATTTCAGCCTTTAACACGGATATGATGTCTACCTATTTCGATTAAGTGATAAGCCTACCAACAGTTTACCAACTCCAGTGTTGCGTTGACGCAGTCTCGCAATGATGCCATAATCAGTGGCAGATTCAGGTGGGGCCGAGCCGAACCTAATTTTTTCAAAATTATTTTTTTTTAAATGGGAAAAAAACAAAGGAAAATTATAATTAGAACTTGGGTCTGAGAGTGCCATTTCCGGCAATCTAGAGGTGTCATAATCATAAATTTTCTTTCCTCAGCCCCAACCCGTGGGGCTGAGGTGATCTACTTTCCCAACGTGCAAGTCCCTCCCTGTCCCCCCTCTAATTTGCTTTCCTGGAGCCGCCACTGATAATGATAAATTAAGTAAATCACCTTTATGTTTGTGAAATCAAAATGCTAACTAATGTTTTGTGTGCTCCCTATCTCCCTAGTCCTGTTTGATCGTAAATTAGACGGTATTATTTCCACTCACAATAATTTATTGCAATATTACTTACACAAAAGTGAAATTCAAAAAAAGGAGAAAAGCAAAAACCTCTTGATTGACTTTAAAAGTACTGTATATGCAAAAGGACTAAATTAATGACTGTTTTAAGTTTATCTTATTTGTTTTTCATGGTTCGAATTTTGAATACGTTACAAGCTAATCAGTAGATAATAAATCATTATTTTCATGAAGGTTAGTTTGCACGAAATATATAAGCGGGCATAATTATGACTAAAAAGGATAATTTTAAAAACTTTTTATGATGAGTATTTCTGTGGCAGATTCAAGTTGAGAAAAATTAAAATTATATTCAAATTCAGTCTGAGAGTGCCAATTCCGACCAACTGGAGGTGCCATAATCATAAATGGGGCTGAGGTGGTAGTCCAGCTACACTCTCCATCTGTAAAAGTGCCTCTCTGGGCCCAGCTCTATTTCAAATTACTGGATCCGCCACTGGATATTTAGAAAATTTCGTATGGAAATAAATGTTAATTACATTGCTTAAAATCAATTAAAAGGCTAAATGCGCCAGAGCTTCTAGGGCTTCGCCCCTGGTCCCCAACCATTGCTTGGGCCTACGGCCCAAGGCTTTATTTTTATCTCGTCTCCCCCCCCCACATTCAGCCACGGATCGACGCCCTTGCAGTTGACAGTTATAATCCACATCATTTTCAGGATGCCTCGGGGTTTCTTAAACAGTTTTATGATTCAAAATATAGACCTACAACATAGCCTTTAAGTTAAAAAATAAAACACTGAAAATATGTCTTAAAGGTTGACTTGAATTCGTTCCATGTTTTGGACGTATGCGTTGTGAGTTAGAGAGAATTATGTAATAGAGCTACAAAACTAAAATATCTAATATATATATATATATACTGTCTCTTATACACATCTAAGATGTGTATAAGAGACAGATCCTTATTAGGCCAATATTTTTAAATTGCACCGTGAGGAACAAAATCAAATCAAATCAAATTTTAAACCTAAATAACTTTATATTCCAGGCCTGTAATGTGTGAAAGAACAACTTTGTCCTTAATGAGCATAATATCATCATCTATGCATGTTGCATCTAATTTGTATGATTATTGAAACACCATAATGTGAGATAATAATACAAAATACACGCTCCGATGCTTTACTAACATTTATACTTCCTGTTTTTCTGAATTGGAATCGCATAATATCTCGAATAAGAGCTACTACCAGCAGAACGTACGTTATCGATTTAATGTTTTCATTAAAACCTTGTCTTCAGACAATATTTATTTACCCTACCATACGACCATCGTTTGTGCAAAATTGATTTTGATGTTTAAACAAGAAGCGGTTTTCATTCCCGTGTAGTGTGTATTAAATCTGTTGCGTTTCAATATACAGTAGGCCTACTCTGTTAGTAATAAACTGTTTTTGTCTGCCACAATTAATGCCGATATTTAGGTCATTCAAGGGCAAAGATGGAGCATGTAGCTAATGTGCCGATAAACTGATGGGAATAGGCCTAGTGCTCGACTAGAGTAGTGATAAATTGCGACTCATATTCAGTGCCACTCAATGAACAAACTTCATCTGTGTTTTAAAAGCCATTGAGCTAAATAATACAGGTCTCTCTCCAATTAAATACCACTTTTGGAAAAACTTCATCCGTGTTTTAAAAACCATTTTGTTAGGTTTATCATCATTATCATCATCGTCTTCATCATCATCATCATCATTATCACCACCACCATCATCATTATCATCATCATCATTTTGTTAGGCTTATCATCATCATAATCATCATCACCACCATCATCATCACCACCACCATCATCATCATCATCATCATCATCATCATCATCATCATCATCATCATCATCATCATCATCATCAATCATCATCATCATCATCATCATCATCATCATCATCATCATCATCATCATCATCATCATCATCATTTATTATCATTTATTATTAACTTCTATTTACTTAAATATCCCAAGATATTGGAATGAGTCAATAGACTACCTATTCTTATGAAATGATCAACGTAATCAGGGGTAACAGAGGATAGGTTCCCCCACTCCCTCCCCACAAAAAAAGAGAAAGAAAAATGAGAGAAGGAAAGAAAAGGAAGAAGAGGAGCACGGTATTTTCAAAACTAGCTAATGTACGATTTAAATTCTATGTACCAGTGTCTATAATAAAGCATTCTTTGAACAAAAAAAACAAAAAAAAAAACAACCCACCCCCTGTGCTTTGTGCTTCAAATGGCTCCTACCCAGGTTTTCTCTTGATCCGCCCCTGGGTCATTATTTATTAATAATAAGCTATAACTGTGGACCGAAAGTGAAGTCTTGTTCGTTAGTCATTTGTTAGTATTGTTTTCTTTTCGGTCTTCCTTCCTTGTTGAGTAAGAGATGTAACAGACTAGCATATAACATTCTTCATTTGAATAAATTTGCAAGAAATGTCCCTAACGTGTAGCCATTGCATATCTTTACCTCTTTAATATTAGTTTTGCCTTTCCAATGTTCCATTTGAATTGGGATTAACGTTTGTTAATGATTCAAGTCATAGACTAAATTTTCTATGAAGTACGACTTTTTTTTGGTCTTCAGTCTCTGACAGGTATTCATGACTAAGTCTAAACTGGTGATAAGTGTGATAGTGCTAGGTAGGTTATAACGTCTTCTGTGTGGTGATGAGTTGTAAGTCGGGTACGACGGTCATTTGACTGTCGACTAACGAATCATCACCGCTTTGTGAGCGTTTGATGCGATTTCGATGTGGTGTTGATTGCGGCGAAGTCGATGGCAGCCAGAGCGGACTGTAGTTAAATACGTCCGTTGCGCGATCTTTTTATCGAGTTGCGTTTGTCCGACAGATCGTCTGCGCCGTTTGTGTCCGTCTTAAATTCGTTTCTTGTTGAAAATAAATTAAAGCCCGTGGTCATGTTAATGGAATCCATAGGATGGAGCAGGTCTGGCTTAACCCTAAATTTCAGTCTCGCTATCTTAATTCACTATGGCATGTCGAAAGAATAAATTATAATTTAAAGGGTGTACGGTTGGTTTTGTTATGTTAATGTTATATTATTTATACTTTTTTTCAACTTCTATTTGAGTAAAGGTCATATTCATTTGTTATGGATAGTAATTTAGTTACCGTACTTTATTAAACAATAGTAGCGATAATCTTGGTTAAAAAGAGAACAGTGGTGGATTCAAGGTCTTGTCAAATTGCTATCTACATCTATTTCAATTAATTTCATATATTATGTATTTCGGTACCTTTTGCGACTATTCTTGAGACCAGCTTACGGAATGGACGAACGAACAAACATGAGCGAACAGAACAAAACATAGGAACGAATATAACGAATAGATAAACGAATGAACTCGACAAACAAACGAATGACACGAAATAAAGATATGAACGAACACAACGAGAACACAAAGAGCTTGATTTTTTTAGCTGCCGTATTAAAACGAAAGCCTTTTACATAATAGAAATTAATGACATTTTTTCCAAACGGCATTATTGTGGCGTTTCATAATATGGCTTTGAGATTAGCTGTCAGTGTAAGAACTCGACAGTGGCGTAACGATGGGGCATGAGGCCCATAGAAAGGCTTCTTCTGGATAATACCTTAGTGGCTGGGGGACGCGTAACACCCCTGGGGTACGGGACGAAGCCCTCATTCGTTCTAGTGTTCTCGACTTTTCAGGCCCGTATTTTGATGGGGTTTATTACACGTTCTGCTCATATGGGGCCCTTTCGTCCGATTTGGTATCCATGGACCAGGACCGTCCTGTTAAAAATGGTTTAAAATCCTGGGACTTCCGAAAGTTCCGGGCCGCAGGCTTTAGCCAGTGAGAGCTTAACGGCAGCACTCAGTTTTCAACCTTTACTTCTGCTTCTATTATTATGTTTGAAACTGAGAGCCTGTTAAAGAATTATGTGTTAACTGGATATGTTGCAGGGCACATGATAGTTAAGAAAGAGGCTTTATTAATACACTGTGGATATTGTTGCGACGATTTTACACAAATCCTGAGAGGTGTTGATTGGTGAAGTTGGCTTGATTCTAACCTCTTTAACTTCAGTTTCGCTCTCGTAATGCACTACCGGTATAGGCATGTTGGAACAATATATATCTTTAATAAATATCCTTATAAATAGGCCTGGCAGAACTAGAGAAATTTAATATTGATTATTAAATAGCCATTTTTGTTTGTTTCAGTTATGAGATATGCTGCAATTAGCTAGGCCTATTGTACAGTTTCGGTTTTAATAGCATGTGAAGTTCTTTTTTATTTCGTAATTTCCCCGTATGTTCTGTTAGGCATAAATATTAATATTTTGTTCTTGTGTTTAGCTTATAACTTAAGACCAAACTTACCGTACTTTGTACCAGGTAAGGGTTTGTAAGTTAGGCCTATTTATTTATTTATTTTTTAAAATTTATTTCCATATGTTCAGGGCAAGCCAAGATCAACCTGTAGTTGATAATACACAACAAAGTGAATATTTTTGAAAAATAATGAAATTTCAACAAAAATCAAAATATAAAGAAAAAATAAAAGATACATAAAGGTGGGATTTGTATGCAATAAACAAGAAAATTACAGAAAATGGCGAAAAGAAGAAAATGGAATCAAAGAGAAAAACAGATGAGGGAATTTTATACTTAATTTAAACTAATTAGCCTAGACCTTGAAAGTGCATTGTTGTGGCCCGGGCTCCAAGTTTGAGCACCGTTAGTCCCCTCCTCTCGTCGGCGCGGGTATGTCGAGCCATAGCCAGATACTGTGTGCTAACCCTATCTGTTACATAAAACACATACGTTGCACCTACCCGGTTTTAAAAAATAAAACAACATTAGGTGGCAACGATGAAATGTGCATCTCGCTGGTTGACAGTCAGATTCACGTGGACGTCGTATATAAAAACAACTGAAGTTGGCTCCATTCCTATCTGAAATCTGATTGGCAAAGAGGCGCATAGAGGTTCCGCAACTGGCTGATAAAACCATCTGGTCGCTGATGTGTTTAGATAATATCATCGATTATTTTTTATTCAAGTTACATTTTCTCTGAGTCCATAGACCGAACGTTAAACACTAGATGTTTTATGAATGCCTAGGACTAATCATGTCGGGTTGTACAGATTCATAGTTTATATTAATATAATAATAATAAACAATGATCGTCGCGAATGGTGTTTCAGAGCCGAATGGAAACATTGCTGGGCCCGCCGATGATACAGTTAAAACTGAGCAGAGCACAGCCTTCCTGCAGATAGCGAACGAAGGTAAGTCGTTTTTGGATTATTAATAAGCACACGTTTCCTATTATTTTATAATAGGTGGGTCTATATTGTTGAAATATACAGATAGGCCTATTTCCGCATCTCTACTCTCACTAACAGCAGGCCCTCGATACAAATATTATGCTTTGTGAACGAACAACAACGCGAAGTGTTAATCTAACTAACCATTTATAGACTATTGATTAATAAACATTGATTAATAGGCCTATTGTGCGTGCAATGAGAATTGCCGGTATTCAGTTTCATATAATTATTATTCCTATTTTAATGGTCATAGGCCACATAATATATCTGCATACATATAATGTGTCCTATTAATCTGTTTTTAGACAATAGCCCGTTACTTCTCTAACACATGTGTCCTATATTATGTGACATATGAAAGAGTGTGTTTATATGCTCTCTGTATATATTTATTTATATATTACGTTTACTTATTCAATTTGACACCTGGCATGTAAAAATCAAATGAAATAGAAGAGGCCCATTAACAAGTTTAAACAGATTAAAGCTTTGTCTGTATAGATCGTAGGGCTACTGTCTACTGACCAAATGGTCAATACATGACGAATAACACAAAATATAAAAAAACAAATTGTATCGAAATCCGAAAATCTAATCTTTTGATATTCAACTTGATTATAGGCCTATACTACCTTAAGCCT